AGTGAAAAATATATGTTGAAGGTAAGAAAAAGGGAGAAGAGATCAGAATCATTATTCATCTGATTCCATGGAGATCATTCTGGGATTTTTCTATATTCTCAGTAAAGTTAATAATCCTTTCAAAGTGGCCCTGTCTATATGACTGTCTTCACTTCTTTGCCATCAACCTTCTGAGTTTAACAGTCACAACAGCTTCACTGTTACAAGGACCAGGTTCTCATACCATCACTTGTTCACCTTTGAATTAGCCCCTCTGTGAATGAAACTCTTTGATTTGTACCAATTTGAATGTGTCATCTGTTTCTTGGCAACCTGGTTAATATAGTAATTGGTAGTAGAAGGAATCTCTGATGGTTAATTTAATGTGTCAACTTGGAGGGGCCACAGTACCCAGATATTCAGTCCAATATTATTCTGGAAGTTTATATGTGAATGTTTCTGGTTGAGATTTATATATAAGTTGATAGACTTTGAGTAACAAAGTTTACTCTATATATATGAGGAGGCATTGCCCAATCAATTGAAGGCCCGAATAGGACAAAAGGGAATCCTTCACCAGATAGGATACCCTTTAAATTTCATCTGCGAATGCCTTCTCCTGATTCTAAAGCAGATCACCATTAAAATGTAGATTCAAACTGCAACTGTTTTCTTAGTGTGCACAAAGTTTGGCCTATCTTACCAACTTTTGTATTTATTAAGCCTTTATAATTGTGTGAACCAATTCCTTAAGATAAATCGCTTTACACACACAGATACACACATACACACACAGACACACACACACATTTCCTTTTACTGGTTCTGTTTGTTTGAAGAATCTTGATTAACACAAAACAGTAAAAAGTAGACCCAGACCCTCACAATGGAATTCTGGAAAGGAGTTGGTCATACCCTCAAAGAGTTCATGGATAATATTCTTGTTGAAGAGAAATGGGACATAAGTAATTCATGGCATGAAGTCGCATTGTAATTAACTCATCTCACTGCAGAAGATGAAATGCAGGTGCAGGGCAAGGCATAGAAGGCTGAGTAGCTGTAGCACTTAGTCTCTATGACAACAAGCGTTTTAATAAACATTGCACAGTCACCTGGTGGCTTATTAAAAACACATATAGGGAAATAACTTAAATTAATATTTATGAATATAAAATGAAGAGCATGCAGCAAAGAAAGAGAACGCTTTCATAGAAGATTTGAAGAAGGCCCTCATATCTTACAGCTGTACCACATGAAATTGATCCATCATCGTGATAATATTAATTGGACCTATAATCACAGGGTCATGAAATATACTGGAGGCACAGCCTGAAATGTACTCCTGGACATACAAAAAAGTCCAATAATGTACTATACCATTTGAAAGTGGTAGTAACTTAGTCACACCACCACCTGAAATTTAAAAAGTCATAATTGGTGCCCTTTGTATAAGACAGTGATTAAAAGGAGCAGGCTATCCAGTTACACAGAATAGGTGCTGTGATTCTTGCCCCTGTGCCTTGGCAAGAAGATGGATGTTTACGGAGAAAAGGATAAAATATGTCAGGTTCCTGAGCCCTTTACAATTTATAGTAATGTATATTCATAACATATATCATTGGAAATTGATCTTTCTTGAACATTACATTTTGAAAGGATTCACCCAGCTTTCCAAACAGACTGTAATTAAGAAGTTTCTTTAATCACTTTTGAAAGATCTTGAACTACTTTTACCAAATATTGCTCATACCTAGTCTCATGGACAGCCAACTATGTATGTTAAATTTTCTCATTCTATTGTATTTATGCTTTCTTTTGTATTTTACATTCATTTGTATCTCTATGATTTTTACAAAATATTCTGACCAATGTTTTAAACTTCACTAATTAAATTTTTAGCATTGTCTCAACTACCATAAAACCCATCTATTAAAGTTTGGAAAGGTCCTCCTTGTTTTTAAATTTTAGGACAGGGTCTACAGGGTCTCACTGCATAGATCGAACTCATAGTGATCCTCCTGTTTAGAGCCTCCCAAGTGCTGGGATTACAAGTATGCACCACCACACCCAGATTCAATCACCCTCTCAGTGAGCCCCAGGGGTGGGGCATGGGGCCTGCAAGGTAGGCCTGGGGATCCAACACCCAGCCCCTGCATCTGCATAAACAGGCACTTTAATCCACTGAGCTACCTGGCCAGCCCTGAAGATTCTCTTTTGTTGTGTTATTACACTTCCAGAAATTCCATTTCACTGAGGGTGATGGTACAGGCCTTTAATCAAAGTACTTGGGAGGGTGAACCGGGAGGATTGCCACAAGTTCAAAGCCAGTCTGAGCTAGAGTTCAAGGACAGCCTGAACTATACAGAGAGACCTGTAAAAAAAAAAAGAAATTCTCCTGAATATTTTTAGAGGGACCAGTACTTGGATGAAATCCTCAGTCTTGTATTTTATCTCCTGGAATATAACAAACATATTTATTTTCAAGTCTATTTCTGATAATTCCATTATCTAGATCCTTCATTGAATTGTTTGTATTGTCTTTTGTTTTGTGATAATGTTGCTCTGTTTCTTTGTCTAGTTAAACTTTCTTGTGCAATTAACATATGTGCAAATTTATATTACTAAGCTTACACCTCAGATAATATTTTACTCCTCAAGAGAGAATTTGCATTTTCCCCTAGAAGTTTCCCAGAAGCATTAGTTCTTAGATTAATATCAGGGATTCTGGTGGTGTGAAACTGATAAATAATTCCATGGAATTATTTATTTTGCTTGTTAGCCCATAAGCAAAATGTTTAGAATCTTTTCACCACAAGGTGAAAAGTTGCCATAAGTGCCATGCTCTGTGTCATGGTTTGGAGTTTTTGCAAGATGAGCAATATAGTACAGGACATAATTGATAGTATTATAAGGAATAACCCAAGAACCATCTACAAGAATTGCAGAAAATCTGTCCACACAATAAACATTAAAGAATCCAGCTGAGGGCATGCGCCCTGATATCCTGCATGAGTGCAGCTGAAAACCTAGAGTTCACAACAATGCCTCCCACCAGCCCAACTGGAGGCCTAGAACCCCCAACAAAATGAAGCCTATCTGTGCTGGCAAGGCCCAAAAGTCAGTGTTGGAAGTTAGAAAGTCCTTACAAGAGGGATGAATAATCTATGCTAGTAAACTGAGGGATCTGAACTGGTGCCAAGAAGCATTGCTCAAGGTAAGCACCAGAGCCCTCCTCCCCAAGTACCACAGCCATCCTCAGCAACAGTGAGGTCCCAAACTCCTCCAGCAATGAGGAAACCCGATTTCCATCATGAAAGCCAATTCAAGGGCTGGCAGTATAGCTCAGTGGACTAAGTGCTTGCTTAGTTAAGCTCAGGGGCCAGGGTTCGATCCCTGGCTCAGCATGCTGCACCGGCCCCACCCCTGGGTGCTCTGAGCCAGTAATGGAGTCAGGGCATGGTGGCGCATGCCTATAATCCCAGCACTAGGGATGCAGAAATCAGGATGATCTCTATGAGTCTGAGCTGCATAGTGAGACCCTGCACACACACACACACACACACACACACACACACACACACACACAGCCAATTCAACAAGCTTCTCCATGAGGCTAAGCAGTGCACCATCTTCCCCTCTGGAGCCAGGAAGTGATGTGATAATCAAGATGAGAGCCAAAGCTCCTCCAAAAGTTCATTGAGAAAGCCAGCATGACAACGTCCTCTAACAGAACATCCCAAGAGAGCTAGAAGCTACCAACAGCTCCAACAGCTTCTCCAAACAATGTCCCTAACAGCACCCAAACAGCTTTTCCATTCTGCCTCTTACACTGCTGGCAACAACCCTCGGCTGGGCCGCCCACCCCCAGCATCATGCTAGTTCAATTCAGCTGGGTGTAATAAGTTGACCATCTGTTAGAAATCTGCTACACTCAGCCTTCTTGGTTTCTTTCTTATTCTAGGTTTTTTTTTTTTATTCTAGGTTTTATATCCATACTTCTTTTTTACATTCTCAAAGCTCCAACTCCCTTTAGCAATTGCCTATTGTATTTCAGCATTCTTTATAATTGTCAGGGAAAAGAATGGTTCTAATTAGTTCCCACACCATTATACAAATTTTGAAGCATAACTTGAATGGTTTATAAAATGGGCTTGGATGGTCTATATGTCTTATTAGCTACTTCTGTGAGGAAGATTCCTCATCAATAAAATTTATTACAATTTGTAGAAAATAAATTTTTAAAGCTTCAACAGGAATTATTCATAGCTATTTAAAACAGAGTTATAAAATGTTATATTCATGATGGCAAGGTCAAGAGTCTCACTGAGACATTTGAACATGATTTGCAGGTTTTGCCAATTTATTTTTAGCATCCTTCCTACTTTTCTTCCTTGAGGCTATATCATATAAATAAAATACATTTTTGGAAAACCCCATAAAGATAGCCACCAAACCCTTCTAGTTTACTTCAAGTTACTATATAGGTGTTAACTTCTACAAGGACCATTAAATGACACTAAGTTGGAACTAAACTAACATCTAGTTCATATGCATATAATTTAGCATATTCTGCCTTGTCCCTCAAGTCATATACTTCTTTATACATAATCTTAGGGCAAGAGGGATGCAGGTGTATTTACTTTAGGCATTGTTCATATTTGATCTTCACAACTTGCAGTGAAATAGATGTGACTATGTTTGCTTGTGGGAAAACTAAAGTTGTGGGCGGCTCACCCCATCTGAACCACACTGGCACCATTCCTAGGTCTTTAACATCCGTGCTTTATTTTCAGAAAGGGCGGACGTACTCAACAAAGAAAAAGAGCCTGGTCTGAAGTGCACGGCCAGCTCAGAAAGCTGCCCCTCACCTAGGGTGGCTCTGACTCTGCCCAGCCCACCCCAGGGCTCCAGCTAGGTGGGAGCAGGACTAGTACGACACAAAGGCGGGGCGCTGGCGAACGGCCTGGCCCCCGGCCATAAACGGGGGCGGAGCCTCCCCGGAGGCCAGTGCGCGGCCGCAGAGCTAGGGCTGCGCGTTGCTCCGCCCCCGGTGAGAGTCGGCGCCACCATGGAGGAGTACCACCGCCACTGCGACGAGGTACCGCCCCTTAGGCGCCGGGAAGCGCCCCCGGCCCCGCCCGCCTGGGTGCTGGGTCCCTGTCGGGTGGTCTTTGAGCTCTGAGCAGCTCCGAGTGGTGGGATACGCTGTCCTCTGAGTCCGGATCCGCTCAGCTGGGCCGGGGATCAGCCTCTTCCGTCCCCTGTCTTCTTTGCAGTGCTGGGGCCCCGAGGTCCAGGGGGTGGACTGGCTGACAGGATAGCGGAGGAGGCGCTGGGGTCGGGCTTTGGGATCGCAAAGATGGGGAAAATGTGCACAAAGAGTACCCGGCTCCGCCCGTCAGCCAAGCTGGCCTTGGAAACCGGTCTTTCCACTACCACCTCCGCCCTTTAGAGTCCTCAGAAGCAGGTGCCTGATCCCAGCGTTTTGGGCCTCGGGTGGCACAGCTGCGCCTGCTCCGGGGAACTTGCTCCTGTGGGTCGGGAGGAGGGGCTGGAAGGAGGTATGTTACAGATTAGGAGCCTTTGCTTACTGACTCAGATTTCCTAAACCTCACCAAAATCTCATGATGGGAGTTATCTATTACTAATGGGAACTGTGACTTCATGGCGACTGAAATGCCCCAAGTTAAAAGTGCTTGAAATGACAGATGCATCTTTTGAATCCAGGCCTCTGACTACACTGCAACTGTTCTTGCTTCACTGTAGTTACTTGGCAGGTGGGGCCAGTTGAATCCCAGCATAACTTGTGCCACTTTCAAGGGCATGAAGACTATTTTGAGTCCAATGGTAGCCACTGGTGAATGATGCAGCAAAAGAAAAGTAATTCTGTAATGGAGATGCAGCATAAATCAATATATTAGATCCTTGGAAGGGGTTTCATAGCTCATGGGAAATCTTTAAGGATATGGGCCTTCTGCAGAACTAAGACGACATTTAATAGATTCTGTATCACTGGTAGCATACATATTTACAGGTCAATGGTATTCTCATTTTGGAAAATTAAGAATTTGAAGCTGGGAGTGGTGTAGCGTGCCTATTATCCCAGCACTCTGGGAGACTGAGTCAGGAGGATCACTAGATCGATTGCAGCCTGGGAAATTTAGTGAGACTTGTCTCAAAATAAAAAGGCTGGAAATGAGCACAGTATGCAGGTAGATTTATTAGATGACTTTCCAAATCAAAGAGGGTAACTTTTGATTCCTAGTCCAAATTTGACAGCTGATAAGGACATGATTTCAAGGTAAAATATCTTTGATAGAGCTAAAATGTGAAACCTCTTTTCATAAAACTCCTAAATATTAACAGTATTATGCTTACTATTTAGTAATACTATTTTCATTATGCTACTAAAAATTTAGAAGTAATATTTTATTATTT